TCTCTGCTCGGAACGGGGAGATAACTCCAAAACGTAAAAAGATTTACTATGTGTTATAGGTATTACGGTAGTTTTAGTTTTAAGAATCTCGTTTTTTAAATCTATTACTGCTTCTAGGTTGCAAAGTATATCATTCCCAATTAAGCCATCGTACCTAGAGTCGACATTGTAAATGTATAGTTTATGAATATCGTTACAGTTGAAAATTGGTAAAGACGGGATTTGAATAACTTGATCATGTCTGCTCGATGCATGTGTGCTAATGACTTCGAATGGTTCGTGACTTATGTACGCTGGAAAGTACTTATAAGCTTTTGATGGACTAATGAATGATCGCGTACTACCCGTATCAATCATAAATTTGGAGTCGATTTCCGGTATATAAATAAACGGCAATCTCAAATTAGTACTACAATTTAACCCTATTTTTTCGTGGGTTGGGGTGGGGCTTCGACCTGAAAATCCTTGTCGTCCATATTGGTTGGGACGCCATGTGTTACTTCAGGAATTATTGTCGGATATTCATTTTCATAATAATCGAGCTCGGGGACATTAAGGCCACTGCTTGAGTACTCCTCATAGCAGCAGTTATCATAAGAAATTGGGTACACATCGCCGCACGCATCATCGTAGTACGTATTATCAAGGTCGAGTTCATTTAACTGAAAGCCTTGTTGATTTGTTTTAAGGGGTGGTGCCGTTCGCATCGTGACGTCACTGGGCCCAGTGTATTGATTTTTATTCAACTGAGGCTTGTAACCAAATTGTTGGGGCTTATAAAAGTTTTGTTGTTGGTTTCCAAATTGTTGTGGGCGCATACCAAATTGTTGTGGGCGCATACCGAATTGTTGGGGTCTATTAAATGTTTGTGGTTGCATTCCGAACTGTTGGGGACGCATATTAAACTGTTGCGGGCTTATACCAAATTGTTGCGGGCGGAAGCCAAATTGTTGTGGGCGGTATCCAAAATTTTGTTGATTATTATTAAATTGAGGTAATTTTGATTGTGACCCCTGCGGAAGTCCAAAGTAAAATTTGTTAGGGGTTAATTCGGGTTTATAGCCCATTGGTGCCATTGAATTAAAATTATTTGTACCGAATTTTAACATAGGGTTATTATTTGGTAAACTGGATGGCGTTGGTTTATTACTAGGATTACTATACATTTTATTACGCAAGGTATACTGCTCATGGAAGTTGACTTCTTCCATGACCACACTTAAAGCCTCTTCTAGTGTACTGGGCGCGTTTAAGCGAACAATTCGCACCATATTTTCTGGCAAATTATACAAAAAGACATTTAAAGATGTGTTATTATATATAATAATTTTGCTACTCTTTACATTCGGATCGGTTAATCTATTTACTTTCGATATTAAAACACTACGAACGGATTGGATCCTATTACAGAAATCTAAATACGACTCGTTGTTTCGGATACGCAAACCTTCAAGTTCTATAGCAATACATTCTTCACTTCTAGGGTCTCCGAAATGTTGAATTAGCAGTTCTCTAAAATCTTCCCACGTATTAATGTCCTCACGCTCGCTAAAGAGCGCTGCAGCGTCGCCTACGAGTCTACTTGTTATCGCGTACATTACGTGTACATTTTGTTCATCGGATCCCCTATATTTATTTAATATATACTCACATTTGCGAATAAAAAGATTTAATTGGTGCTTTTGTTGAGTACTGGAATAAATCTCTGTCAAAATTTTCCAGATCGTAGTGTCCATGTATAATTTTATATGCTTCGATCAAGTCTCCCCGTTCTCTGCGATCCTTCAGTGTCGTTAGTTTAAGCTTATTCAACCTTTTCTCATATGGTATGTTTTTCAATACTCTAGGGACCTTTGAAAATCTACGTTGAACTTTCTCCAGTAACTCAATATCCTTTTTGAAATAGGGGCTCCAGATTTGGAACTCTTACTCCGAAATAGGTCGAATGTATGCCTTATGTATTTTTAGCATCATTTCTGGTGTAAGATGTCCGAAGGCTTTTCTAATCAGGTAAATAAAACTATTTGCTTTTTTAGTTATAACTGTTACATGATGATTCCATTTTAAATCGTTACTTATATGCACACCTAAGTCTTTTTGTACTTTAATAATCTCGCTCTGACAGCGCGTGACATGTTATACTCCCGTTCGCTCGGGACCTTAATGGCGGGAAAATTTGTAAGTTAGAAAATTTTTTGCTATATTGCAAATTTTGCTATATTTTCACTTTGAGACAATATTTATGGATAAAACTTACAGGATTTCTTGTTGAATGTATAAGCTATCGAATAAAATTATTTTTGGTTGCTAGAGATTGTAATAAAATACATAAATTACCCTGCATAGCATAGTAGTAGTATATACTTCAATTTTAGTGACAAAATTACTACTAATTTGAATTCTACGCTTTTGTTTTTGGAGAAATTTATATGAAAATGTTTGGAAATATGTATATTTTTATGTTTTATGTGTTTCTATTCGTTACTCATACCAAAATATTAAAATATTAAAAAATTAAAAAAATAAATAATAATATTTTATCTGTGTGACATTTCGAACAATATTTCAAAAATAGTTTTGTGTGAATTTGAAATAAATACAACGTCAAGTTATTTGAAATATGTAAGAAAACTATTTTTACTTACATTTTACACTAAAAATAAATGAGAATTTGAAAAATAACACATTTATAACCCAACCGCCAAAATGGGCCTTCCGGATTTTGAAGTACTTTTGGCAATTTACTTCTCAATTTTAATACCACAAATTATATATCTACGTGTTTACTATATTACAAGGAATATAAAAAAGTATAATACTTTCGTTTTTAGTCCAGACAGAAATATAAAATTCTATAAAAAAGACGGAGCACCTTCATCAAAGCGACACGTTAAACGCTGAAAGTTCAGAGTGATTTCTTTTTTTTTCTAATAAATATTGCCAGGTTATGGTTTAAAATAAAAGAGCATATCTTTGTCTTTGATACTATTATATATTGCATAGTGTCTTTGGTTTTGTTTTAAAGGAACAAATAGTTTTTTCATAGGGCAGTACTTCTGATCTAATCCGACCCGTACTAGAACCAACTTAAAGTAGGTATTGTATGATCTGATTAGATCCGTAGCCGAGTGAACGGGTCTTCTTCCAAAGGTATATCATCGATTTTATATATTAAACGAGGGTTTCTGTTTCCTATATGGAGGACTGTGCATTTATTTATATTTAATTTAATAAGCCACCTTTTTGACCAATCTGATATTTTAATTAGATCTGCTTGAAGGCGATCAAAGTCCACTAGTGGGTTTGCGAATATCGTCGTGTCATCAGCGAACATACTTACATTACAACTCAAGCTTTTTGGTAGATCAAAGGTAAACAGTATAAACAATACCGGTCCCAGTACAGAACCTTGTTGCACACCGCTTTGTATTTCTTTTTCACCTGACAATGTGTCGCTAATCCTTACTCTGAAGATTCTTTGTCGTAGAAAACTCTCAATCCAAGTTAACAGTTTCCCTCGAACACCAACAAATTCCAATTTATGTAAAAGCCTTCCTATTGGTACTTTATCAAAAGCTTTTTCGTAATCCAGATATATAACATCTTTTGGTTCTGTTTCAAACTATTTTAAATTTTCCGCGCACTCCACCGACACATGTCGATTGATGACCTCGTATTGCCTTACCGATACTGCTGCTGTCATAAAAAATGAGTTTTTTAATAGACCGATTAGTTGTCTTCCTCGCTCGCTTGGGCTTTTAACGGGGCTTTCGAGAAGACGATCGCTTTCTTTCTAACCTATGGCAAAATATTCTATAATGAAATATAACTACGATTGTATATATAGCAAATAGTATAGAGATTTATAGCCAGGCTTTAGGAATGAATTTCTCAAAAGCGGAGGCCCGCGGGCAATACGTTTGCAAGTTCATTTCACATTTCAATGTTTATTTACTCTGTGTGTTTAGCTTAAGCGATTTAATATTGCGAGTTCAAAATTTATGCTTTTTAAAGATTTTTAGTGAAAATGGAGGATAATAGTGTTCCTTGTGATTAATAAAAGTGTATTAAAGTGCTAATCGGAGAGGAAAAGGTAAAATCTTTAAACTTTGTTGAGATAATACACAAGGTCAAGAGTTTATTTCAGACTTATCAATTATCGCAATTAAAAACAGTTATTGGTACAATTAGAACGTTTACCAACATTTTACGTGGACGTAATTAAATCTTTCCTTAAGAAAGCGAGACGATTCCACTTATCTCTTATGCATTAGAATGTAAATATTTTTTTTATTTTGTACATAGTTTGTTTGTACTTTGTTCATGTTTTACTTTTGTTCATGTATTGTATTGAATGTAAATATTTTTCAAAATTTTTTCGCTTAAACAAACCCAAACGGCTTTCTCAAAGCCGCCACCGAAGCTATGCAATTGCTGCCTTCTGTGTGCTTTGTTAAACACGTCCTTGACAGCAATGAATATGATCTATATTTTTATCAATTATTTATATCTTGGGCTTGCCTTAGTTTGGAGCTCTAGCTTCGCCACTGCAATGTCACTCTTGAGAACTAAGAATGTCTCACTTGAAACATGTTCTTTTTAATGGAATGAGAGGCAAACAAACATACAGCTAATAGTACATCTGATAGTAAGTGATCACCGTCGCCCATCAACATCAGGAGAATGGAGTTACTTTTTTTTGTTTTAAAAGAAATAAACACTCCTGGTACAGTTTAGTAAGATGGACAGCAGTATCTTCCAAATAACGACTAAAATCAAAAACTGTGGTTGTCAACCTGCTTGCCAAGTGTGGCAACTACGGCAAATGTGCGGCAATCTATGGGGTAGGCCTTTGTTCAGCAGTGGACTTCAATAGGCTGTAACGGTAACTCCTGGTAAGCATAAAATGCTTGTGTTAGGAGTGGCTCACGACAGTAGCTTTGCTACCCTTTTAGAAAAGAATAGGCTAAAGAAAGTTTGTTGTGTGTGTGGATGCGCAGATGGTGCAGAGCGGCAACCCACGGCCGTTCAGCTCGCAGTACTTGAGCGTGGGCGGGGCGGGCGCCGGCGTGGGCTCGCTGGCGCTGCACCGCGTGAGCTCGCGGCCGCCGCAGTTCGCGCTGGCGCTGGGCGGCGAGCTGGTGGGCGTGCCGCGTGGCCGCGCCAACCTGCTGCACGCGCTGCTGCTGCTGCTGGCCGCCGCCGCGCGCCGCCGCCCGCCCGCCCTTGCGCGCACGCACCTCGGCCCCGCCGGTCTCAACATGCTCTGGATCATCGGCCGCTGACTCCCCGCGTCTCATGCACCTATGCACCCCACTTACACTTACTCCTCACTGCCCTCTCCTGTATCTTAGCGTAACTAATCATGAGCTGAAATTCTAAATATTCTTAGATCTAGCTAAGATCCACATAATAAAGTAAAAAGATGTAAGAGCTCCCAAGGGAGGAGCTCGTTTAACAACGTAAGACACAGGTAACATGATGGATTTCCACAAAGTAATTCCCGATTATATTAATTAACTTAATATAATTTAAAATTTCAAACTGAAGACTATGTCAATATAAAGACATGTTTCTTAACACATGCATTAAAAAATCTAAAAGTCGTTTTATCTCTTATCATAGTTATAGACTTTTGGTTGTCACACAAAGTAACAACAGGTTATTACATATTAAGAGCTAATGCAATTTCCAATTTTAAACACCAATTGAATTAATATATTATTGCTTGTAAAAACTGTCTTTATAAAATATAGTGTATAATTTTAGTGTATAATTTAAGGTTATAAGTTAAAATCTTTTATGAGACTAAAAGTCAATAACAAACTAATACTGATGTAAATGACTGAAACCATTTTACAAAATTTAAGTCAGTAATGGACATTAATGGCTATACATTTGAATGTATATGGTGTTATTGCAAAAAATTGTTTATAATTAGTCATAGGCTTAACCTTTTGAGCGCCAAGGTCGCCTATACTTGACCAACACCTGCGAGCTCTGAGCGCCAACGACGTCTATAGTTGACAAAAAACCCGGCTCACAAAAATATGAAATATAGATATTGGAAAATTATTACTGGTATTTTAATTCTACACCCCTCAAAAAAGAATAACCCAGCAACATGTGAGTATAAAAAACAAGTCTCCTAGAGCCACAAGTACTAAGAAACATTGAACTAAAAAAATGGATTTTTATCTAAGCAAATACTATGTCCAGCACCCCAAAGTTGTCTATGCTTGACCGCTAGTGTTGTATGCGTTAGGCATAGATTTATTGAAAACTATTCAAAATTAAACGCAAACGTGTTATTTTTTAAATTATTATTGATATTTGAATAAAACAAAAGGTAAGAAACACAAAACTATCATCAGCTACATAAATAAAAGAAAATTTCATCAAATCAACTTCGCATAATAAATCTAATATCTCAACTCTGGCGCATCCTTAGCGCGTCATCGATTATCAGTTCATTAGAGTTAGACGCCGTGGTCAATGATAGACGACACCCTGATGACGTCATAAACGAATAGCTGAAAAAGTAGTGCAGTGCAACATGAACGATTCCTCAGAACTCATTCGCATTTTGGAAATCGTCGATGATGATGATTGTTTTTTTAATAATATAAAACTACAAATAATAAATGTTTATTTTTTTCTTATGGTATGAAGAGCAATTTTACTTTTTGTGTTGTGCGATTTTCTTTCTCAATCTAGGGTATTGACTGAAACCTCTATTATATTTGCTGATGCCATTTCCATTCTTATTCCGATACAAAAGACCAGAATTTAAATAATAAATTGAATCAAGTATTGAACCAGGTTACAAATTGGCTGACACATCACAACCTGGAGATTAATTTTAATAAAACCGAGTACTACATTATTTTTACTCAAATTAAAGTTATATTTAATTGGAAAATGTTTCTATAATTTAAATGAATATTTTGATACAAATATTATTTAATTTGTGTGGACAACTTCGGCCTGAGCCTATATAATTTGATTTCATTTTTTTTATTACATTATTATTTTTTACTTAATTTTATTTTTATTTATAATAATTATTATTATTTTTACTTGACATTGTGATTATTAATTTAATTTACAGAATTTTAAAATAATATAATCTAATGTAATTTATTAATGAAATCTAATATTGTAGTTTAAAAATAATATTTAATATTTTTATTTTATTTTGCTACGCCCAAACTGGGTTCAAATGCGGACAATTTTTTTTAAAAACATCACATCTATTGTTTACCATTTGATTGCAATAAAGATTATGGTTATGATTATCTCAAAATCATCTGGTAGCATCAGCATCATATCAAACCCCCATTGTCATAAGAACGTAAGACTTTTCTTCTGTGCTTTACTTGGCATACTCCTCCCCCGACACATAAAATATTTTGAGTCAATCTCTGTATATTTTGGTTAGATCGATTTCGAAATCGATACACAACGTGCGACATGGCTACATCTCTAAGAAAGTTTCAAAAAGCAAGATCAGCTACGCCGTTGTCGTCCAGTCGTGACAGCATAGATTACTGTATATATACTAGAGACGTGACAGTGACGTCATCACGATGAAGAATAGTGTTGTGGTTTACTACTATTTTATTGTTATTGTTTGTTTTTATTTAGTAAGTTTTTTTGTACAAAGTACATACATAAAAAGAGTGGACGACAGCACAAGATTAAATAAAACATACCAGATTATAAAAAGTCATCTAAGCAAAATGAAGTTATTTTGTGTTATCGATGTATGAACTCTTGGCAACACTAGTTTTTTCGTAGGTATTTTTGTTTAATTTTCGCTTTGGCGTACAGGACACGGTAGTGCGTTTTTGGCGTGGCGCTCAAAAGGTTAAAGTAGTTTAAGAAATCTTACTGAATACATGCAAACTAAAATTTATAGTAAACATTTATAGTATGGTCTTTGACAAGCAATCTCAAACTTTGTGAAGACTGTGGAGCCATGGCTAAGGATCTTTTTTTGAGATAAAATCATATTTAAACACTAGATTATCAATAAAGCAAATTTTGTAATATGCGAATTAGTTCTGTTTTAAGAATGTTAATGTTTAGTTATTTACAAACACAATGTGTAATTTTAAGTTTTGTATCTATTGACATAATGTCATACTGTAATTCACTTAATTAGTTTGAAACCATGAAAGTGTAAAAGCGATGACCAATGTTTATAGCAGTTGACCACTGATTGTAATTTTAAGAAAAAATAAAAACTTTTTGAAATTTGTATTTTTCTTAATCTACCACCTTATATACCTAACTATAATACATTACATCTCTTGAACAAATATTTATTTAGAACTTAAGTACTACACAATAGAGTATGACAAGAATAAATGAATCACAGCGTAAACAATTTTGGTGAGAACATACATAATAGAGTATGACAAGAATAAATGAATCACAGCGTAAACAAATTTGGTTAGAAATGGAGGTAATAAGGATTAGGAAGCTGGTGATGCGGGAGTGGGGCTGTGGCAGATGTCCCTAGCGTCGAGTAGTTGCTGCGCCAGCACGGCGTGCAGCGCATCGAGGAAGCTTGGCAGCGCAGGCGGTTCGGCGCCGGGCAATAGCGCGCGCGCCATGAGCGGCAGGCGGCGGAGCGCGCGTGCCGACGCGCCCGCCGCCGCCGCGCCGCACGCCAGCTCACGCAGGCGCAGACTGGCGCGCGAGCCGTCGCTCTCCACGAAACGCGCCGCCTCCAGCACGCGCAGCGGGAACAGCGACTCGCGCGGCACCACCGCCCCGCGCGCCATCAGCTCGTCGCAGCAGCCACGCAGGATCTCGTACGCCGCGCGCTCCGACGGTGGGCTCACCAGCCGCTTGATGTCCGCGCGGTCCACGAACGCCACGTCGATCGCCCCCGTCACGTTCGAAGTTGTCAGCACGAGCGCGTTCGGCTGCCGCTTCAGTCGATCCAGCTGCGTCAGGATCACGTTCACGGCGCGGATCGAGTCCGACGGTTCCAGGCCGGCGAGCGCCGCGCGCCGCGCGTGCGTTAGCGACTCCACCTCGTCCACGAGGATGCACGCGAGCAGCTGCGGATCTTCGAGTATCTCGCGGATGCGCTCGAAAAGCTTCGCCACGAGCTTACCGCTCTCTGAGAACCATTTAGAAAAGATGCCGTGCGCGTTGATCTCGAACAGACGCGCCCGAGGAAACCTATCCGAGAGACGGATGGCCAGCTTCTGAGCCAGCGCACGACACAAACTGGTTTTGCCCGTGCCGGGCGGACCGTGTAACAGTACTACGCGATTCCAGCTGACGATGTTAGGGTCCACGCCGCGATCAGCGAAATCGAAAGCAGTCTCTACGAATCGCAACGTATCTTCCTTAAGCTTTGAGTCGTATATGAGATTTTCCCACAAACCGTGGAACTCTTTGGCCGGAAGAGCCCATACATCGGCTACAGAGAGCTCCTCGCCGGAAGAATTATCACTCATAGTGTCGGTTTCAGCACCGAAAGAGTCCAGTGTGTACACATGGTACAAGAGTTCAGTTTCACTTGTAACCACTTCGGAATCATGTTCTACGTCACAAATTGTAATAGACTGCACATGTTCAAAAAGTTGCACATTTTCCTCTAGATCACTATTATCTAATGTTGCACCAGGAGTCAAAGTATTGAAATTTGATAAAAAATTATGCACTAATACTTTTAAAATATTTTTATTCATAAAACTCCCTTTCTTTTTAACTACTTCTACATGAAGTGGAAGACTCATTGTTGTTGTTTTCGTCTAAAGCTATTAAGTTTAATTTAATTCAATTTCTGTATTTTAAAACTTCTCAACGATCGCTATCGTGTATATTTACTATACAGTAATCTATGATATTTACTTTCCTCTATGGTGTATATATACAGTAATCTATGGCTATCGTTTTAGTTTAAAAATTTGACCATAGATAAATAAATACCTATGTAGCAAGCTAAATTTGTGTTTTTTTGGAGTTTATGGCCTGGTATCTAGACCTTTAGGCCAAGAGCTAAATTTGACTCCATTTGAGTGTTGACAGTACACGGCTTGACTAAAAGTTACGTTTACATGCTTAAAGTTATTTGGTGATCTGATGGATTTCCCATTTTCACTAAAAATTATAATATAGTTCGGCCGTTCAGAGAATGCGTTCCTGACACCTATCAGTTAGTCACGACTAGTGATGGGCACAACATAACATTGAGTTCGTTACCGTTCCTCCAAAATGAACCGCCGCGTTATTTTTAAGATTATTTTCGTTTTAAATTGGCGGAAACATTGAAAATTTATATTTTAGTAATTTAGTGAATTTATATTTTAGTGGAAACCAAAAAAGGTAATATTAATATAATAAAATTGTTTTATTTATTATTTGTTACAAAGTTACAATCTGTATTTCTATGCAATAAAGTACATTGAATTGAAAGTGCGTACAGAATATTAATCAGACTCCGATTCGCTTGAGGAGGTGGTGTCTTCATCATCATCTTCGCCTACATGTATTAGTATATTATTATCAATAACAGAATCAATCCTGACATCTCGGTCAAAATGTTCCACAATCAGGTTTTTAGTCTTCTCAACAACCTTTGCCCAGTCATCTCTTGTGACTTCCCCGCAGGCTTCTTTTAATAGGTTCATCATCTTTTTCGTGCTGGGAATGGCGGGGAAGTATTGTGGCGGGCGGCGTAGCCTTTTATTTGAGCCCAGATTAGCTCAATCGCGTTATATTGGCAATGATACGGTGGAATTCTTAGAACGCGATGACCGTACTCCAGAGCCAGTTCATCGATTTCGTATCGCACATTTGCCGCTTTATTTTCTTTAACTAATTTAATTGGGAAACAGAACGAAACAGGAGATCACAGCCTCGAAATACGATGCAGAATAGAGCAGGCACGCAACACCTTTTCGAGAATGAAGAAAGTTCTTTGTGACCGGAACCTAAGTATTTCTCTTCGAACACGCATAGCCCGGTGCTATGTCTTTTCTGTACTTCTCTATTGTGTAGAAGCTTGAACGCTGACAGAAGCCATGTCTAACAAACTGGAAACGTTTGTGATGTGGGTGTACAGACGTATGCTAAGAATTTCTTGGAGAGACCGCGTACGAAACACCACCATGCTACAAAGAATGGGGAAGGTCACAGAGATACTTACAACCATAAAGAGGAGGAAACTGGAATATTTTGGGCACGTGATGCGTAACACCAAAAAATATGAACTCCTTCAACTTATCATTCAGGGGAAAGTGGCAGGCAGAAGGAGGCCTGGCCGCAGAAGGATATCGTGGCTGAAGAACTTGCGCCAGTGGTTCGGGAAGAGCACAAGATCACTGTTTAGAGCAGCGGTCTCAAAAGTTGAAATCGCCCTAATGATTGCCAACCTTCGCAAGGAGACGGCACCTTAAGAAGAAGAAGAAGAATTTAATTAGCTCTGGTTTTAGCATCTGCATATTTGCGTCAATGCCTTTTGCTTGTAACCAAGCCACCATTTCTTCTTTTTTATTAGCTTGGGTAGGTGGTTTCTGTATTTGAACCGAGTGATAGGAGGCATTATCCATGAATATTACAGAAGGCTCTGGTAGGCTGGGCAAAAGCACGTTCTGGAACCACTCTTTAAATGTAGTGGCATTCATTTCCTCGTGGTAGTCATTTGTGGTTTTTGATTGAAATGCCAGTAACGCGTTCTCCACAAAGCCGTATTTTGCAGAACCTGCGTGGCATATTATCAGACGGACCTCCTTACCCATTGGTACTTTCGACGTCGACGCTTGTGTATCATCCGTCCAAGAACGGGAAACCGTGTGATTGGCGTTTAGCCATGTCTCGTCAATAAACACGACATTATCCCTGTTATCAACATTTTTTGCTTCTCTCAAAAAACTTATCCGTTTTAAAATCATGTCGTATCGTTCTAATAAAAATTTTCTTTTGTCTGTTTTTTTTTATACGAAAAACCAATATCTTTTAAGATTTTGGTTAAAGCAATTTTACCTTCAGATATTCATTTCTGGAATAGTAACCATATATATAATTTCTGATTGCATCGGCGTCAAAGGTGTCAATATCTGTCACGGGTTTAGTTCTACGTTTCTTCTTTGGAATACGTAAAATATTATCTTCGGTACCAGTAGAGCCGAACTTTTCTTTATTATTATATTATATTTATTATCGTTCGTTTGCTAACTCCAAGCGCCTGAGGACGCGTTCTTGTACTTGTTCGACAGGTAACAGGGATCCGCCATTTTGCCGCTCCCGCTCAAAGTAATCTTGCAGCTTGATGATTAACTCATGGGCTCCACTTTTCAATGTTTGTCCACGTTTAGGCATTATTATGCACCAAAAGTAAAAAGAACGCAATACAAAACACAATCGAAGTCCGATTTAGCACCGATGTCAGTTTGAAAAGCAGAAACAGTCCATTAAACGAAAGCCGGGTAATCAAATAAAAACAGATCGAAAACACTTGAAGAACGTGGTCTATGCGCACGAAACGACAACAAACGACTGTTTTAGTGTTTTAGCGTCACAAAATGGCGGCCCATAACACCATTTGGCGTTACCATTTTCAACCTAAATATAAAAATGATACTTTCTTTCGCGCGTTCGGGTTGGTCGTAGTTTTATTATTTATTTATCTTATAGTCCATTATTTTCAAATTCTTAAAAAGAATAACAAAACGTATTATTTTATAAAGTATAAATGTATAAGAACAGATGACGATACTGTTATTGCCTGTTATTGTTAGCACAGCACTACAAATATAAAGCGCTGACATAACCTTGTAATAGCGCAGTATAGATTTAGAAAAATATTGATTACCAAGTTATTTGACATTCAGTTTGGCACAAAATTATAACATTCATTAATTATTGATATAATAATGTTGTTTTAATGCTCATCAAGTTTTAAAACGGTAAACAACCAGCAAAAATGTTTTTATCGTAACTGCAACGCCATTACAAAGTTACGTCGTCAGTTCAATCGCGACGTGTCAGGAACGCATTCTCTGAACGGCAGAACTATAATAATTTGTTTATTCATTTCATTCATATATTTATAGAAAAATGTTGAGTCCTTCTAGTAAGTAAATACTTACTTGTAGCAGAAGGTCTTGCTCTCATACAACAATTTCGTTTTACTAAATAAACATAAAAATTATTCATATAAAATAAAAATTCTTAAGAAAAATAATTGAGTTGGAATTTGGAGTAACAAAAGTAAATATGCTAATTATGGAACCATAAAATAATGGTTCCATCCCATTACAATGCAAAATGTGTGTGTGTGTGTATTTGACTTTGCATAAATTTATTCATTGTACATGATAAAGATCTCGGTCTCCCCATAACTGAGTCTCAATCCAACTTGTAATACATTATTTTACATTCATGTTTATAGGATAGATGCTTAGTTTTTTTATTTATACGGATTGTAGCAAATGAGGTATCAGTGCATTCTGTATAGGAATATTCGATGATCATCGATGTTAAAAATTAATACATCGATATTTTAACATGTGACAACATGGACCCGAAATCGATTATTGAAATGTTATTTTCAAAAGCTGGCTTAACTTAATCAACAGAGAAAAAGATTGAAAGGAAATTCTTTCTCATAATTACTATAGGCATAAATATCAATCAATCGGCGTAAATATACTATATAACTAATAATGTACTGTATAACAAATGAAATAGATATTCGTTAACTCCTTCATATTTTTGAATTACTTTTCTTAAACTAAGTGTAAACACTATGGTCGCTCCCTGGTGGTACTTCACTTTGCTCACAGACTCGAGGTATAGGTAACTTAAATAAAACCCACGAACCTAGGGTAATACAAAGGTTATTTATTTAATTAAATCAATAGTCTTACATGTTGGCTTGAAACTACTTAATACCGCGATTTAAATTTGTACAACGCCAGCTGTAGGCCGTCGTCTGAACTCTAAACTAATTTTAGCACTTATCTTGACATAAATCAAATACTGTACAACGCCATCTGTACGTCAACGTCTGAATTAATGTTAACATAATCGCCTACCAAGGACAAATATGACATTTGTACTTCAACAACAACACAAATTTTAACTTATATGTAATTTAGAACTTCACATGAAAATTTATACTCTAATCTAGTTATACACTTATTTACATTACATCATTCAGTCGCAATCGGAAGCTTTAAATGTTCGTTTATCGTTTAAATGACGTTTAAATGTTCCATTTTTTGTTTTTAAAGTTATTACTCTGACCAAATTGTCTTTTCCAGTATGAGTATCAATCACTCTGCCACATAGCCATCGGCAAGGTGGTAAGCCGTCCTCTTTCACTAAAACAACGTCGCCCACCTTGGTCTGAGTTTGCTCTGATGACCACTTATAACGGTGCAAAAACTTGGTAAGGTACTCCTGAGACCAGTTTTTCCAAAAGTCTTGCAACATTCTTTGGGTGAACTGCCACCTTCTTAAGGAACTAACATTGTGAGATTCGTAGTTTTGGTCAGGCGGAGTCACAATAGGCTCTCCCACTAGGAAATGACCTGGAGTTAAGACCATGAGATCTTCGGAGTCACCTCCGATAACAGACAGCGGTCTAGAGTTGGGACAAGCCTCCACTTGTGCTAGAATAGTTGTCATCTCCTCAAAAATGAAAGTTTATTGTCCTATTACACGTCTTAGGTGGTACTTTACTGATTTCACCCCTGCCTCCCACAAACCACCAAAATTAGGCAACTGGGCA